ACAAGAGAAGGGAAGTACTGGGAGCTAACACATTTCTAATTTATTGCTTATTACTTTCTTACTGTTTACAGGATAATTATAAGCCAGTGAATCTATGATCTTTTATTCTTAATAATTATTAATCCCTTCAATGAAATTTTAAAAATTTACTGAATTTTTATATATTGCATACATTTTATAAATTTCTTGTGCTCACTTTGTTAACTAAAAAGTTTTAGTCTGTTAATCTGTCTTTTGTTTCCCAAAAATGTACAGTAATTCTGCTTGTTTGTATAAATATGCCTGGATTTTTATTATAAAAATGTCATTGTAGGAAGTAGAGACTCATAACATGGCCTTTTAAATATTGTAATAAAGGCAAATGGTTATTTGCCCTTAGTTTACTGGTTAAAAGTTTGTTTACAGAAATTTTCTTTGGTGCTTTCATGTAAAATGTCATGTGTGGAAAGAAAAATTTTGTAATAGTAACAAAGATTTTTCATTTAGGAAAAATATCTTTGGTTTTGAGAGAATACATTAAAATTAAAAACTTGCCCCTACTAGATAATAATTTTATAATGAAGACATACATTCTTCTTAATTTTACTCTTGCTTTCATTAAAGATTTATCTAAATATAGAAGATGTATGATTTAAGATCATATGCTGTTTGTAGCCGTAACTTAAATCATGTCTCTTCTAATCATGACTTTAGAACTCCCTGGATAATAAAAATGACGGTTGAGATAAACAGAAAAATAATTTTTTAAGCCAGAACCGTGCATATTTAGGTCATAAGTAATACCTTTTAAAAGTCTCAAACATTAAAGCATCAGTTGTAAAATACTGATAATGAAAGATGATGAAATATACATGACAACACGAACTGGGAACATCCCAAATCAAAACATTTTCAATAAAGCTCATAGAATTTCATTTTGTATTTTCATTTAGAAAAAGATTATCATTGATGCCTGGATAACTAGTCAGTCATATTAAAGGTCTACGTGCTTCAAGCTCAACTTTTAAAATATAATATTTAAAATTGTCATGATTCTATCTTAAATAATTTAATGTAGCTAGCTATTTTTATTGGGAAAATTTTTAGATAAAGATTTCAAATGTTAAAAGATATAAAAGTCAAGTTAATAGTCATAAACATTGAGGCAGAGAATTATATTACTGTATGAATACCCATTCATGTACAGAAGTTACTTTCCTGATCAAGTCTGAAGTTGAGCTTAGTGCTAGAAAACTATTTTCTATGACTTACTATGACCAAGTTTTATTTCAAGCTGTGTGTCTTTCATAGAGGGGCCATGAAAATAGGATAATGATATAGTAGGAGGTGTAAGGGATTGGTCTGGTCTTTTTCAATTAAAATAGGAGTTGCTGAGGTTTTCCAAATTAGTGTTAGACTTAGATTGTGACCTTGTAGATTTTGCATTGAGCTCTGTGTCATATTACTTCCTAAAAGGTAATGCTTAAACATTAAACATTAGTGTGCTCTTCATGTTAATATGGCAGAGTTTTGTAAACTAAATTAAAACTTACTGATGTACTGGACTTTGAGCCAAGGGAAAGAATCAATACTCTCTCTCCAGGTATTTTAAGGGTAACAGTTTATTCTAAGACAGTCTGCCCATTGAGGTTATTAGATTTCTGACTTGCAAATATGCTTTGTGCTCGGGAAAAATTGGAAGAACAGCAGATACTAGAATTCTAATTTAAGTAAATATATAGCAGTCTTTGTTTATAGTGTAAAATTGTCTATATTTTGTACAAAAACTAATTCTTTTGGTAGAATGAACCATTTACAGTTTGTTTTTGGACTCTGAGTGAAAGGATTTTCCTTTAAATGCTTGTCTCAATTTTAATCTGGTCTTTTGTACTTTTCTTCAGAAGAAATGAATTAAAAGGTTCAGCTGCATAAAGTGGGTTTTTATCCTAATGGATTGGAAATAAATTATAAACTTTATTTTGCCTTTAATTTTTTTATTTAAAACTTTTTGAGATTTCAGAGGTTGCAGTCTGGTAATGAAGGAGTAGCTCATATTGGACTGTCGTGCCAGTAACAACGGTAAACTGAACAAATTTTAAAAGCCATGATAGAAGACTCTAGAGAGCAATCAGAAACACAGGCAGAAACTACACAACATTGTATACTAGAAGAGATCCACATAAACTAGCTTTTACCCTGAGAGCAATTTCCAGTTCCAGCAGTGTGCTTGGAAATAGAATACAAGCAGAATCTGACAGTTGTGCTGGGCTGAGGAGTCATTTGGGGCTTCTAAAACAAGTGGAAGTTAGAAGGAAAATCTTGGAAAGAAGAGAGCTTCAGAGATTTGTACGCTCCTAAATCTGCCTACAAGTTCCCTTTAAATCTTTGGTGGATTCCAAATTCGTACCTGTGCAGTGTGATATGCAAAGGAACGCAGCAGAAACAATAATTGAAGTCTAAGGAACTGAGCAGAGGTAGCAGCTGCTGGGGGAATACAGAGTTTGAATTCAAATTCCACTAGGAGGGGTTTAGTTTGGGTTTCTTTCTTTTTTTTCTTGGGAGGAAGATTAGCCCTGAGCTAACATCCGTTGCCAATCCTCCTCTTCTTGGTGAGGAAGATTGGCCCTGGGCTAACATCCGTGCCCATCTTCCTCTGCTTTATATGTGGGACACCTGCCACAGCCTGGCTTGATAAGTGGTGGTGAAGTCCGTGCCCAAGATTGGAACCTGCAAATCTGGGGCTGCTGAAGTGGAGCGTGCAAACTTAACCTCTACATCACTGGTCTAGCCTCTAATTTGGGCTTTGATGGGAACCCTTCCTAAGGAGGAAGGACAACATCCTAGAACTAAGGGCTACACCTTAGGACAATGGGCAAAATGGGAAGAAATTGTAACAAAGCTTAAAATCAAGCTTTCACAGCGTCAAAGTTATCCATTAGTAATTTAACAGTTAGCCAGAACAAAAGCACACATTCTTTAGAAGAAAACAGAATCCAGAGTCTTCACAACATACCATCCACAAACTCCAGTACACAATAAACAAATAAGCTTACAAAGAAAAATTATCTGAGCCATAATCAATAGAAAATATATAGAAGCAGAAGCACAGATGATCTATATGTTGGCATTAACAGAAAGTTATTTTAAAACAGCTTTAAAATATGTTAAAGAATTTACGGGAAAAAAAGATGATAGATGAACAGATTGGGATTCTCAGCAGAAAAATAGAAACTAGAGCCAAATGGAAAGTCTGGTGATGAAAAACAAAAATAAATGAAACAGTGTCTGAAATAAAAAATTTCACTGGATGGGCTTAACAGTAAACTGTACATAGAGGAAAGACAACTGGAAGACAGCCAGTACAGTTATCATCCTGAAGCACAGAAAGAAAAGAAACAGCAGTGGTTTGAGACCTGTGGACAGTATCAGTCTAATGTACCAGTAATTTGAGGTCCAGAAGCAGAGAAAAGGAAGAGAAAGGGGCAAAAGAAATATTTGAAGCAGTAATGCCTGAAAATTTTCCCAAATTGTTGAAAGACATCAACTTAGAGATCCATGAAGTTCAGTAAACTCAAGCAGAATAAATACAACAAAGATTACATCTCGGTACATCATATTGCCACGAAAAAAATCTTATAAGCAGCCAGGGAGGGGAAATGACCTTCTATTCAAATAAACAGTGAAGTGATGGCTAACTTCATCAGAAATGATGAATCCAGAAAATGATGGAATGACATCTTTTAAAGTGCAAAAATTAACAAAAGGTAACAAAATTCTATACTTAAAATGTTCAAAATATTAAGGCAAAATAAAAGCTGTTCCAGATGAACAAAAACTAAGAGAATTTGTTGCTAGCAGGCTCACATAGGAAATGCTTTAAGAAATTCTTTAGGCTATAGGAAAATGATCTTCAGTAGGAACCTGTATCTCTAAGGAGGAATTAAGAACTTTGGAAATGATAACTATGTCAGTAAATATAAAAGATTTTTTTCTTAATTTCTCTAAATATTGGCTATTTAAAAGGTTTACTGTGTGTGGTATTTATAATATATGTAAAAGTAAAATGTGGGACAAAAATAGCACAAAGGATGGAAGAGGGCAGTGAATGGAATTATATTGAAATAAGGTTATTATATTGTACACAAAGGGGTATAGTATTAAAGTAAGGTAGACTGATAAGGGTGCATATTGTAATCTTTCACCCAGCCACTGAAAAAATAGTATAGTAGATCTAAAAAGCCATTGGAAAAGGTAAAGTAGATTACTAAAAATTACTTGATTGATTCAAATGAAATCAAGGAAGGAGAAAAAAGAATAGATGAGATAAATAGAAAACAACAGAATGGTAGAGCTGAAACACAGCATTGTCAATAATTAAGTGAAACTTAGATGAATTGTTCTCTTAACCTCTTCCCTCCTGAACTACTCAGTTTTAAAGCCATTAAGTGATTGGGTCTTCAGGAGTATCCGTAGATTTGATGTTTCACTAGGAGCACTCACAGGACTCAGCATAAAGTTACACTTGCAGCTATGATTTATTACAGCCAAAGGATACGAGGCAAAATCAGCAAACGGAAAAAGGACAGAGGAAACCAGGCACCAGCTTCCAAGAGTCTTCTCCCAATGGAGTCATACAGGATGCACTTAATTCCTCCAGCCACAAGTTATGACCACATGTGTTAAAGTGTCACACCTAACTATGTTAGGCACAGTGAGCCACTCTATCAGTTAGGGAATGGTGGGAACCGTCCCCCAAATTCAAGTTCCCAGATGCCAGCCATCTGGGAACCTAAGTTCCCAAGGGCCAACCTTGCAAGCAGGACTTTCTAAGGATTAGCAGTCTTGGGCCTGCTATTTTAACTCTTTTCTGCACAGTGGTTCAGAACAAAGTTCGCGGTGGGGAAAAGGGACATATGGTGGTCCAAAATTGGGTGTCAGAGACCAAGTGGGGTAAGTAGGGTGTCTACAATGATGGGCACCTTGGTATGGGGTGTTGGGGACAAACAGTGAAGAAGTTATTCACATGGTGGGTAGAGGCAACCTGGAATGAGGAATAAGTGCTCAAGCATAGAGACGAGAGTGTCTGTATGGAGGAAATGTGTCAGCAAAGATGGCAGATTGGTTACATACGGGAGACTTGATCAAATAAGTCAATATATTAAGCATAGTGGAGTGGCGTTTCTCACTGTCAGAGAAAGTAGTTATGAATACAGGAAGGGAGAAAACTAGAATGAAACCTGTTGGGTTGGGTTGTAATTGAATTTAAGAGTACAAATTCATGATTTAAGATACATAAATATAGATAAATGTGGATGTAAATACATGACTATACATATATGTGTATGTACATACATATATTCCCTGGTTCTCTCCATTGAGGTGGCCTTGGAGCAGTTACACCCCAAAAGCAATGAACATACATAACACCTATGTCATGGCTTCCAAATTCTCCACTGTCTTAGTCTGCTCAAGCTGCCACATTTTTCGGTGTTTTTTAAAGCAGCACCCCACTTATTGGTATCAAAATATGTCTTAGTCTGCTTGGGCTGTCATAACAAAAATAACATAGATTGGGTGGCTTAAACAACAAAAATTTATTTTCACAGTTCTGGAGGGTGGAAAATCCAAGATCAAGGTGCCAGCCAATTTGATTTCTGGTGAGAGCTCTCACTGGCTTGCAAATGGCCACCTTCTCACTGTGTTCTCACTTGGAAGAGAAAGAGCAAGCTCTCTGGTGTTTCTTCTGATAAGGGCACTAATCCTGCCATGAGGGTCCCACTCTCACGACCTCATCTAATCCTAATTATCTCCCAAAGGCCCCTTGTCCAAATACCACCATGTTGGGGAGTAGGGCTTCAACATATGAATTTTTTTAAATTTTATTTATTTATTTTCCCCCCCCCAAAGCCCCAGTAGATAGTTGTATGTCATAGCTGCACATCCTTCTAGTTGCTGTATGTGGGATGTGGCCTCAGCATGGCCGGAGAAGCGGTGCGTCGGTGCGCGCCCGGGATCCGAACCTGGGCCGCCAGCAGTGGAGCACGTGCACCTAACCGATAAGCCACAGAGCGGGCCGCCAACATATGAATTTTAGGACAAATATTCTATCCATAACATTCACTAGAGGAACCAGGGCTCCTTGGTGAAATTGCCAATTCCAGGATTGGGGCAGAGAAAATACATGAACCTGGAATATCTTGTGCCAGAACAGAAGGAAGCACTCAAAGAATGATGAGGATGAAACATTGATTTGAGGGGCTCTCGCTGGACAAATTTGAGCTTCAAAATAAGTAATTATAGTAATGGGTTATAACGCACCAGATAAAATGAGAAATCATGAGCTAATGTGGATATATAAATAAATACAAGAACAAATTGAAAATGTGACGAAGAGTAAGGTGTTTACATGGTTTCAAAGTACATCCTCACAAAATATTACTAATTAGAAAGCGAGAAAGAGTTACTTTATAGTGGAAAAACCCAGCAGATGCCACCTTAATCTAGTGGTGAAAGTTATCATCATTAGTGAGCCAAATTTCACATAATACGGTCAATGAGAAAAATGCAGTATCACTTCTACAGTATTCCTGTCAAAGAGGCATAACCTGAATCTACTCCAGGAACATTCTACAAAATAACTGGTGTGTAATCTTCAAAACTTGCAAAGTCATGAAAGTCAGGTAAAAACTAAGAAATTGTTCCAGACTGAAGGAAATTAAATAGAATGACAAGTAAATGCAACTTGTGAGGTAGAACCGGTTCCTTCTGCTTTAATATACATTATTGGAACAACTGATAAAATTTGAATGGGGTCTGAGGATTAGATGACAGTAATGTATCACTGTTAATTTTCTGTAGAAATATGTCCTTGTTTGTAGGGAATACTCACTAACATGTTTGGGGGTGATGGAGCAGCAGGTCAGCAACTTAACCTTAATATTTCAAGGAAAACAAAGTTCTTTGCACTGTAGTTCCAGCTTCTCTGCAACGTTCTCATTGTTGTGAAGTCTTTTCAAATAATGTTTGGAAGTTTCCTCAGGTCTTTTTTTCATTTTTATTTAGATTACAATTTTTAATCTTTGTGTCAATTTTCCTTTAAAAGATTCTGAAAATGTCTTAGGTAGTGTATTTTCTACTTTTATTTTTAAACTTTTACACAGCTGAGTTATTTAAATCTTCTCTTTTCTTCCCTGCTGATGTAAAGCATTTTTCCCCATCTGAGGAGCAAACAATTAATTGAATTATTTGGTACAGATCTGTAGTCCAGGACATTAAGTGTCTAACAAATCCTGATTTCTGTAGCAATTTTTTTGCCTGTCTCCCTAAAGTTTAGGAAAATCTTTAATTTTCATAAACTCCCGGGTTTTGATTCTAGATTAGAGCTTTTATTTAACCTTTGTAAATCTGACTTCTGGTCTAGGAAGTTTGCAATGTGACTTTGCTTTTCCTGAGAAAACCCTGAAGAAAAGGTTATCTCACTTAGAAGGTCAGGTACAGCTCAATGAAAAAAGAGAAAAATGCAAGGAGGGTAGGTTTCAGAAAGTTGCAAAATCTTTGAGAGAGACAGTTGTGGAGTTAGAATTATATTTTGAAGTCTCAGCATATCAACTAAAGAAGCTGTCAACTGGTGTTTTGTCTTCTCATTTTTAAAATTGATTTTGTGTAAGAAGTTCCCAATTATTAATATTCTATGTTGATTTTTCCCCCGTTTATAAAGGAAAATGCAAGACTTTGGATTATAAGTGATTTTATGTAAGAAGCAGAAGTTCTTCTAGGAGGAGTTAAGACTTTGACATAGATAATCCCGTGACACACAAAAAAGATGGTCAATTGGTCAATTGACTGTGTGTATTTTGTTAGTGTTTCAGATTCTCCAAAGAAGCAGGCAGAGTCTGTATAATGAACAATCACAGACCCAACAGATCATTGACCCCAGAATATGGACTAATCAAAGTGCTTTTCTTCACAAATTGACAAGAATGTGAGTGTCCTTATGGGTTCTGCAGAATACCTAAGGCAAAGTTTGATCAATCACTTTTCAACAATTGATCACCAGTCTAACGAGACTTCCAATTGTTAGGCCTTAGGGCCTAACCTGGCTTGGATTGGATTGAAGACATCGGGTTTTTCTTCCACCTGTTTCCTATGGAACCTTCCCTTATACAGTAAACAGACGTAAAATAATACAATATAAACAAAACATGAAACAAGACTTTGTAATATACATAAACAATAGCAAAACCAAAAGCAACCAGAAGGAGAATAAGTAGGTTAATGGTAAAAATATTTTCAAAACAAAATAAAAAGTCTAATGACTTTATACAAAGATCTAGGTCTATTTACAAAATAGTACACCTCCAAACTAAAAGGTCTAATCACTCAACGCAAGAACCTGTATCTATGGTTCTATTCGTAGATTGTTGAGTGTTTTTTCAGGTAGGGGTATTGGATTTGTGAAATACTTTTGCTGCTTCTATTGTGATGATTATATGGTTTTTGCCTTTTATTAATATGATGTATTACATTGTTTGATCTTCATATGTTAAACCAACCTTGGTTTGTTATAATAAAAACATTCCTGTGATAATTCCCACTCATTCACGGTGTATGATTTTTTTAAATATGTTGGTGGATTTGTTTTGCTATTGCAGTTGGCCCTCCCTATCCACAGGTTCTATATCCATGGATTCAACCAACCCCAGATGGAGTACTATGTTACAATCTGCAGTCAGTTGGATCCACAGCTGTGGAACCTGTGGATAATACGGTGGGCCAACTAAGGGACTTGAGCATCTGTGGATTTTGGTATCCTTAGAGGTCCTGGAACAAAGCGCACTCATATACCAAGAGTTGACTATATTTTGTTGAGGTTTTTTGCATCTATATTCATACGGGATGTTGGTCTGTAGTTTTCTTGGGGTGTCTGTGTTTAGTTTTGGTATTAGGGTAATTCTGGTTTCATAGAATGAGTTGGGAAATGTTTTCTCCTCTTCTATTTTTTTTGGAGGAGTTTGCAAATGATTGGTGCTAATTCTTTTTTAAATGTTTGGTAGAATTGACCAGCAAAGCCATCTTTGCCTGGGCTTTTCTTTGTGGAAAGTTTTTTTTTTTGTTGTTGTTGTTGTTTTACAAATTCAATCTCTTGTTATATGTCTAATTAGATTTTCTATTTCTTCTTGAGTTAGTTTCAGTAGTTTGTGTCTTTTTAGAAATTAGTCCATTTCATCTAGGTTACCTAATTTGTTGGCATACAATTATTTGTAATATTTCTTTATTATCCTTATTTCTATAAGATCAATAGTAACATCTCATTCTTTCTTTCCTGATTTTAATAATTTGAGTCTCCTCTTTTTCTTGGTCAGGCTAGGTAAAGCTTTGTCAATTTTGTTGATCTTTTCAAAGAACCAATTATTAGTTTTGTTGACTGTATTATTTTTCTATTCTCTACTTCATTAATTTCCTCTCCAAGCTTTATTATTTCCTTCCTTTGACTTGCTTTAAGTTTGGTTTGCTCTTCTTTTTCTAGTTTCTGAAGGCGGAAAGTTAGGTTATTGATTTGAGATCTTTGTTCTTTTTTCAATACAGGCATTTACAGCTATAAATGTCCCTCTAAGCAATGCTTTTGCTGCATCCCATAAGTTTTGGTATGTTGAGTTTTCATTTATCTCGATGTATTTTCCAAGTTCTCTTGTGATTTCTTCTTTGATCACTTGATTATTTGAGTATATTATTTTAATTTCCACAAGATGTGAATATCCCAAATTTCCTTGTTATGGATTTCTAATTTCATTCCAGTATGCTTGGAGACCATAATGTCTATGATTTTAATCCTTTCAGTTTTATTGAAAATTGTTTTATGGCCTAACATATGTTCTATCCTGGAGAATTCTCCATGTGCATCTGAGAAGAATGTGTATTCTGCTGTTGTTAGATGGTATATTCTAGAGATATGTTAGGTCTAATAGGTATATAGTGTTGTTCAAATCTTCTATTTCATTATTGTTCTTGTGTCTACTTGCTGCCCAA